GGGGGGGGGGGGGGGGGGGGTTGCGCACCTCAGGGACATGTCTGATCAGCGGCCGACCGAACTTGAGCAGCAGCGTACACGCCTACACACACACACAGAGAGAGACATTGTTCGCCGCTCCGTCGTGGTGTGTGTGTTGTGACTACCACTGAGTCACACCATTTGTGGCTGTAGCGTCTGTATGTGTTGGATGGCCTTGTCGAAGTCCCTGAAGTCCTCCATCAGGATGGCCACATAGCTGTCGTGCTGACCCTGCTGCAGCGCCAAGTCGGCACCCAGCTGAGAATAACCTGCCACCACACACACACACACACCACACAGCCAAAAAGAGAGACCTCTGTGTTGTGTTGGTGTCTGACACTCGCTCACCAGAGAGTCGGCACTCGGTGATAGCGGCCGACAGGTCATAACCGTAGCCATACCCCACACCACCGTCAGCAGCAACAGCGGTGCCGTTAGCGGCAGCGGCAGCCTCTCCTTTCGCGGCGCCAGCAGCCTCTTTTCCCCTGGCGCCTTTGAGGAACCTCTCGAGTGCCTCGGTGTCCTTGAGTTTGGTGTAGCACTTGAACAGCAGAGTCGTATGCTCCTTCTCCGCCACACCGGCCTCGTGCAGCTTCTGCACAGAGAGAGAGAGAGAGTGGGTGGCATATATATGTGTGTGTGTGCGGTGGTTGCAGTGGGTGCCTTGAGGTATGTGGCGAGGTTGTGTATGCGCTGGGCGTCGAGGTACTTCTCTATCACATACGACGGCTCCACACAACCTGCACCCAACAAATGAGTGGATGGAGAGAGGGAATGGGAGAAGGTCTCTGGCTTGCTGACGTACCCACCGATGGTTTTGGTGTAGACCTGTATGGCTTGGTCGAAGGCCCGTTTGTCGTAGAGCCAGTCGCCGTGCAGTCTGTGGACCTCCTGCAGCACCTCACGCGGCTGGTGCTCCCGCAAGGCCACCTCAGTCGCCCACTCAAACAAACGCTTCCTACACACACACACACACACACGTGGGAGTAACCATACACACACACACACACACATTTCTCTCATTGTGTGTGTACTTGACGAGTATGTCCAGCCGCTCAGCGATGTCTTTCTCCCTCAGTTCCAGCAGCATGCAGGGCCCCTCGCCGCCAACACCACCACCACCGCGAGCCAACACAAAGAGAGACCCCTGCACACCACACCACACAGCACAGAAGTGCGTCCATCCATCCATCCATCCATCCATCCACTTGTGTGTGGTGTGTCGTTGGTTCCGCTCGGCCATGCGTACCATTGCCGGGAATATGTGTGTGACGTCGTTGATGTACCCGACGAAGGCCACGAACCGCACCTCGGGATACGACAGACACACCGTCACCAACTGGCGCTAAACAAACAAACCACACACAGACACACACACAGACACGCATATGCGGAATGTCACGGCGTGTCAGCTGTGCGCCACACTGACTGACCTGTGATGCAGCGGCTCCTGCGGCGGCAGCCACTGCTGTCGACGAGCCGTCCGGCCCCCCCACAGTCACACTCATCGGCGACGCACCCGGGCGGGCACTCTCCTCCTACACACACACACACATTGAATGCCATTAATGCATCCCTCCATCTCCAGTGTGGGTAGGTGTTGTTGTGCGTACGGCGGTGAGGGCAGCGAAGTATGCCTTGTACGAGGTGAGCTGCATCTTCTGGCCCTCAAACGGCAGAGCCGACAAGTTGCCTGCACACACACCACAGCACAGCGACCACAGACGCCACGCATGTGTGTCGGTCGGTGCCATGGTGTCAGTCGCCCTGTATATATCACCTTGTTCGGCGTCATACGAGAAGATGCCGACGTCCCTGAGGACGAGCAGCACCTGCGTCGCCTCAACCACCGTCGAACAGAAGGATGGCGCGCCGGCCGTCGGGTCCAAATACATCACCTGCACACACCACACACAACACAAGACAAGACAACACGGGAAAGTGTCCCTCTCTGTCTGTGTGTGTGTGTGTGTGTGTGTGTGTGTGTCCGGGTGCTGTCTGTGTGTTTGTGAGGTGTGTGCTGTGCTGGCTGACTTGTGGGTCTCCCTTATCGCTGCAGAGGTAGGACGCGATGCTGGTGGTGGTGCAGACAAAGAGGTAGTATCTCTGCTCTGTCTTGGTGGAGATGGCATCGGCCTTGAGGAAATGCACACCCGTCACAGGCGACACAACATCCCTACACACACACACACACACTCATGCGTGACGAGGGACAATGTCCTTTGTGTTTTCCCTCCCCCCACCCACCTGAGTAGCCTGAGTCTGCACGTCCTCTCCTTGATCAGATCCCCGCGGAACAGACACACACCGGCACTCTCCGTGCCAATCTACACACATGATCAACACACACAGACACCACCCATTATCACCCATATGATATGTGTGAGAACACCCCTCTCTGCATCTATCTCTTATTTACCGCCAGCTGTGTGAATGGCCGGTTGGCGTCGAAGCAGGTGATGTTCTGCTCCGGCATCTTGGCAGAGAATAGCCGTGCCTCCCTGAGGCACTTGGGGAATCCCTCCTCATCCTCAGTGCCGGGGCTGAGGTCATACACCTTGTACTTAGTCAGACCGCCCGGACCACTGCCACGCGGGCCCTCATCTCGACTGACACACACCGACACCACACACACACACACACACAGAGAGAGAGAGAGAGAGGGAGAGACCTACATGCCCTTGTGCATCACCCAGCCCCCCACCCAGGTAGGTAGGTACCCGAGAGCGATGAGCAGCGATTGTGTCCTGCCTCCCTCCGTGGTCATCTGGAGCTGCTTGAGCCCATACAGCGCCATCTCGAAGGCGCAAAACGACACCAACCGGTACTGCCGGTCCAGCCGATGCAGACACCCGTGCGCATCCCCAAGCCATATCTGGTCGGGACCTCCAGCCACACACACCACATGCAGCTGAGGCAACCCCGACACAGACAGAGGCACCGCCTCGCGAGGGGCTGCTACAGGGGACGGCTGTGCGTCGGCTGCCGCTGCTGCTGCTGGTGGTTGCTGCTGTGGCGGTTGTTGTGCGTCTGGTGATCCCTCAGTCTTGACGACAATGCGCTCGAAGAAGTTGAGGCGGCGAAGCTTCTGCATTGCTGATAGGGAAGCCGTCCGCTGTCAGTCAGCCGTTCCACCGGGCGCAGGAACTATGAACGATGAGTCGCACTCGTGAACGGTCAGCGATGAAGACCGTCTGAGTCAGATATCGGCAATGCTCCCGAGATCTTCACCCAGCGGCCTCTCGCCAGCACCACTGCATCCTCAGATGGCTCCAAAATGAATCTCTTTTCCTCAACTTTAAGCTCGCAATGTGGCTAAGCTCGCAGACCTGTTGGAATTTCGTTCGCCACCCTCCCCCCCACAGCACCACTAAAGCAGCGACGGCTTCACCAGCGGCGTGCATGCAGAAGAATTTGACCTGAGACTGCCGTCGATTCATCAGAAGATGCCTTCCCGCCTTCGCCCATCTGCCTCAGCTTCAGGGCCGTCTCCCGCCTTCCAGCTGACCTCTGCTCAATACGTCGAGCGCTCCCTGGCTCTAGCTGGTGCGGCAGCAACGGTGGCGAGCGAAGGCCTGGCCCGTCAGTATGGCTTGCAGACGGTCCTGCACAAGGACAGCCGGGACAAGGTGGACGCCAGCACTGCCCTGAGATTTCTCGAGGCGTATGCGACGCGGGCGAGCAGCCAGCCGGCCGAGCAGAGGAGCCTGGAGCAGCTGTGCCGTCGGCTGCTGCACTCGACGCAAGTGGGTGTGTATGGCGCCACGTGGGAGAGCGACATGCGGGGGGTGCAGGAGGTCTTCGAGACGGTCAATGCCTTCCTCACGGTGCTCTTCCGCACCAACACGAGACCCACATCCTTTTTGCTCGAGAACCTCGCTCAGCTGTACGCCCAGTGGCGGCTGCACATTCTGCACGAGCTGACGCCCGCCTCATACACCCTCGAGTGGTGGGCCTCTGGCGGCATCAAACACACCGTCATGCGGCCGTTCGAGTGGTCCGATCGGGACTACCTCATGGCCGCCATCACGCTGGCGGCCCAGGCATGGTGGCCAGTGATAGAGAGGGTCGTGGGGGTCACCATGGCTGCGGTGCGGGAGAGAGAGCGGCGAAGGAGGCGGGCGGGGGGTGAGGGTGCGAGGGAGAGGGAGAGGGAGAGGGGGCCCTTTGGCTGGGCACTCGAGTGTGTCGAGTGCGTGGCCGACTGCCTGAGGGGCTGCCGTGTGCTGAGTGCCGACCCGCTCGTCCGATCGGACGCACAGGCGCTGCTCGAGCTGCAAGAGGTGGGTGGAGACGACAGACAGGACAACGAACGACAACATGATCCATGATACCTACTTACACGTGTGTGTGATCTTTGCTGTGTCCAGCGCGTGTCGGTCTGGGATGTGTGGGAGCCCTTCGCCCTCTCAGCAGTGGTGTATGAGGCCTTCAGGCGGTCGGAGCAGATCATTCGAGGCACAGCCGCACCACCACCCACCACACACGCTGCCCAGCCGCCGAGGGCATCTCCTTCACCCCACGTGCCGCGACTGCATGGCGGTGTCGGGGAGGGGGAGGTGGTTGAGGATGACGGAGAGGGGCCGAGTGTGGCGTGCTACCGCGAGAGGTGCCTTGGCGGACTCATGGACCTGAAGGAACGTACGGAGGCACAAGAGGAGAGCCGTGTGTGGAAGTATGCATGTATGCGTGTATCGGTCGGTTCCCTGTGTGTCTGTCGGTTGCTTAGGTTACCTGACGCATTTCGAGAAGGTCCGTCAAGAGAGGGAGTCAGCACTAGCGTCAGCCACCCTCCTGCGGCCTGCACGTCGGTCCGCCCCCTCATCACGACCCCCCTCGCCCATGCGCATGCCGCCCTGGCGCCCCGCCATGTCCCCGGGCACACCGTCAGTCACGCAGCTGAGGCGCATCACACCTCCTCCATCCAGATCTGTCAGCCCATTCGGCGCACCCAGTGAGCGCTTATACACAAGGGCGAGTCTCAGCCTTAATGAAATGTGTGTTGTGTTTCCCTGCGTGAGTTTAGGGCGTTGGCTGTCGGGTCCGTCGCCTCGTCTGGACGAGGGCCCGATCGCCCGGTCCTCATTCCCAGTGCCGCTGCGGGCCATCAACAACGGCAGCGCACAGACGGCCGTCTCGTCTGCCTGGGCCACACCCCCCTGGACACAGCGGCTCACCCAACAAGTGTCGACGTCTCCATCCCCACTGCGGCCACGCACCCCACCTCGCGTGCAGTCTTTGCGGTCCAGCAGCACGGTGCGGGCCATGGGAGGCGGGCAGCGGAGGGGAGGGGCCCCACAGCCACCGCCGCGTGACCTGGCTGCCGAGCGAGAGACGAGAATGGACCTCCCGCAGGAAGAGGATCGTCGGGAGCAGGAGCGAGAGGAGCTGCCGACGTTCGGCGCAAACGGTGCCGCGATGTTCGTGGGTCAGAGGCATGATCACGAGACGCGAGAGAGGGGGGAGGCTGCCGGAGCTGGTGTTGGAGGCGAGATGGGTCTGCCAGAGGGTGCTGCTGTCATCGAGGGCACCCCGCTGCCGCCTGACTTCATGCAGGACGATGAAGAGGGGCAAGGCCGACAACAGGACAGGGACAGGCAAGCCTGGCCTGACCAATCGACGACCCACCCCCTTTCACATTGCAAATGATATGCATTTCAGGGTCCAAGACCGAGCTAACGACACCTTGCTGCCGCCCCCGGCAGCAGCAGCAGCAGCAGCCACACGAGCCCCTGCAGAGCCGGAGACCACTCTGCCCCCACCTCCACCCCCCGTCGCTCCCAAGCGGGCGGCAGTGCCATCCGGTCCGCCCGTGAGGCCTCTCTTGCCAACTGATGGCCCCACGGCATTCGAGGCTCACATTGTGGGGGAAATGGAGGTGGGTAGACATCTGGAGAGGCCGGCATGACAGCCGAATCACTTGCCTCGTATGCATCGTGTGTGTCGTGTGCAGGTGTCGAGGGCGGATGAGGGCGCTGATCGTGACATTTTGCGGAGGGATGAGCGTCAGTATGTGGGTGTGAGTGGGGGCGTGGGGCTGGGGAGGAGCCTGACGGCCGAGCCGACCCGGATGGACCTCTCTGTGGCGCTGAACGATCTCAAAGAGTGCCGCACAACACAACACAGCGATGGATGCATGGATGCATCAATGCAATGCTTACGGACACCATCTTTCTTTCTTTTTGCTGTGTGCGCGTGTGCGTGAATGTGTGCAGGCGCTTGTGCCGCTTGGAGGAGAAGAGTGACCGCCTCTCAAAGGCGCACGAGAACCTCGCCATCAAAGTCGACAGGTCTGTATGTATCTCCCTGGATCATGTCATGGTGGTATGTCCCTTCTCTGTTTCTGCCTCAATATGATTGCTTCAGGCATCTCACGGCGCCCCCTCCGGCTCAGCCAACCTTATCGCAGACCACTCCAGCAGGTACGCAAGTACAATGACAATGACATTCACGTCGGTGTAATCTGCGTGTGTGCACTGCAGGTGATCAAGCTACCCCCGTCACTCTCACCCCACCACAGCCATACGCGCCGCCCACACCAGCACCAGCACCACCACCAGCAGCGGAGGCGGCCAAACGAGACATCGATCAGCAGCCCAGCCTCACCCCCAGCACACAGGCGGGCCTGACGTCACCCCTCAACACAAGGGTGCCCTCAGACGGCGAGCGACACACACCCATCACCCCATTCGCGGCATTGCGGTCGTCGCCATCCCCCGCAGCCCAGCGCGAAGAAGCGAGCCGGCGGTCGTCTGTCCCCCTGACGCCCCCACACCCGCCCCACCCCTATCGCAGCTTCCTCTCCTGCAGCCCCTCAGATCGCAGTCTGCTGCGCGGCCCCCCCGAGGGTCGGTTCGTGTCATACGAGCCCGTGAGTGTGCGTGGCGGCCCACTGGACAGAGCTGGTGCGGGTGGTGTGGGCCGCAGCCGACCTGCCCCAAGACAGTGGATAAGGGACGCACCGACCTTGGGTGTGTCGCGGATGAGGGGGCTGGATAGAGAAAGGGGCGAGGATGAACGTGGGGGTGTTGGTGTGGGTGAGGGTGCAAGGCAGAGGAGTGTGTGGGACGCTGTGGTGCAGTACCCCTAGATAGACAGATGTGCGACCGACGATTCAACAGAGACGCAATAGAATGCATTATTGGGCACACCCATCACATCGATCGCAATAAAGGAGGTCCGTCGACAAGTAGAAGACACATTCATGAAAAATCGTCCGGATGGACCAGTAAATAAAGCTCAGCCCTGCATTTCTGAAAGTGTTTCAGAAGTGACAAGGACTGGCCTACAACAGATACATACAACACATGGAACACGCACGCAGACATACACAGGCATCCATAGCAGATAGATCAGCAAAGCCGTTCAACAAGACTCATCATTATAATCTCCCAGTCAAGAACCACTCCTGGTCATCAGCACTGTATTCGAGATCCTCAACACTCTTTTTGAGCTGCTGCATGGCCTCATTGATGCGTTTGATCTTCGCTTCACACTCCCGCTGCTTGGCGCGCAAGTCGGCGTGAATGGTCTTGGCGTGAAGGGCGCCAAGGGCATCCTGCAGCCCGGCGTAGTTCTCCTCGAACTGCCGCAGCACCTCCATCGAAGGGCCGGTACCGGCAAACATGCGGTATTTGTCGGCAATCGGGGCCATCTGGTCGTTGAGCCGCTCCACATCGTCGAGCCAAGTTGTGCGGCTTATGTCGATGTCCAGCTTGTCGTTGGCCGAGTCGAAGATGGGCTTAATGTCGTGAAGCCGCACCGTCGCACGATGCTCTCGAATGATGTTGCGGATGGGCCTCTTGGTGTCCTTCCATGTCGGCTCCCAGCGGAGCGTGCGTTGGTTCAGCTGCAACTCCATCTCCCTCCCGACCACGACCTTCTCGTTTTCCCTCATTCGTGCGTTCAGTCCGTCGATGATGTCCTCATTGGTCGTCTTGATGGTGTGGATGTTGCGCAGCAAATCCTCGTAGGAGCGGTTGTCGTCTGCAGCGGGCAACGCCATGTCCACGCAATCTGATCCACACGCAAAGACAGAGCGGCGGGGTTACCGTGAAGGCGACTTTGTATGCTTCGTTCCTCGTCAGACCACCTGTTTGTGCTATCCAGGCAGAACTCTCGAAGATCTACACCGCGATCCTTAAAGGAGCGATGTGAGTGACCTTGCCACGACGATATGGGGGCTGTGGTATGAAAGAAGGTCTCACCGCGAGCTTGAGAGTTCTGCGAGCTTTGCCTGATTTCGGCAACAACCTCCGAGCACCTCTCGACATGAGAATCTCTCTCTACAATTAATTTCATCTGATCCCACCTTTTCTCCGGCATTCGTCTGCGAGACGGTCTTCAGCAGCTGGCGTGATGAGCAGCGGCAGCAGCGGTGATGCCCCGGCTCCGTCGGACGAGAGCAGTCCCGCCACATCCGCAGACGCACCAACCACAAACATCAATCAGGCCAGCCAGGGAGGAGTGGGAGATGGACAACAACACACCCAATCAGCACCCGATGGCCATCACGGTGCGGCTGCTGCATCGATTGCTTCATCGTCGGCCCCTCACCATGGCGATATGGGTGGCGAGACCTCACCGCCTGGCACATACACACCTCCACCGGCCGACTTCACATCTGGAGGGCCTGGCCCCGCCGCATCTTTGGCTCCTTCGCACATGGGTGACGTGGGAGGGCCCTCAGCATCGGTCGAGCCGCCTGACATGACGGACCACGACACGCCAGCCGCAGCACCCGCACCGGGACCGACCGGTGACGAGCCTCATGTGGCCCCAGCTGCGGCCGCCGCAGCAGGGGGTGCGTTTCATACGTCGTTTGATATGGGAATGGGTGTGGCGAGCCACTCTACTGGAGACGGGGGGCACTCGACGGGTCATGTGGGTGGTCACGGTGTGCATGGGATGGGTGGCGGCGGCAACACGAGGGACGGGGAGGGCGGGACGGGCAGTGGAGACGCCAGGAGGCTGCTGAGGATCAACCTCTCCAGCTGTAAGCCATCCATGCACCAAACAAACAACACGAACTCTCTGAGTGTGTGTCCTGTGTGCAGCTGTTGGGTCGTCCGGTGCCCCCGAATGGTCTGGTGGTGCGTCGCCTCCCCCTCTCACGTCTGGCACTGGCGGCGGCGACCACTCCGGCAGACAGCCGTCATCGCTATCGGGCCACACATCGGCGCTTCAGCTCACACCGGTCGACTCCATAAACAACGGCACGCCAGAGCCACCACCAGCAGCAGCAGCGGCGGCCGCAGCTGCCCCTGCCCCTGCACCAGCCGCAGCCGCCAGTGCACCGAGTTGGGCGCTTTTGTCCGGGTCTGCTGGCGGCCTTGGTGGCGAGGAGGGCTATGACGACGATCATCCGGCGGTGCATCACACCGACACAGGCACGGACGCTGCGCCGAGCGGGCCGATGCTTCGGCTGGCGACAGGGACGGGGGACACATCATCGCCGGTGTCTCGTCAGCCTGTGAGTGGTGCCGAGGGTGAGGAGGGCGGCACCCTCACGGCTCCCAGTGGTCAGCAGGGCATCAACATGCACATGGGAGGGGCGGGGGGATCCAGCGGCACCTGGGAGGTCGTACCTCCAGTATCGTCGGCTCCCCAACAAGAGCAAGAAGAACAGCAGCCGCCGTCCAGCAGCTCCGCCTTCCCTGCATTCGATGACGAGCAGCTCCCACAGCCGTCTGAGCCCAGCGGCGCATCGGGAGCCGCTCCCGCGTCCCTCGGGCCGCTGCCCGATTTCCGCGCGGACCCTGAGGCAGAGTTTGTGTGGGAGGACGAATACGACGAGGACATCCAAGACGGCGGCAACGAGCTCAATCTCATGCAGCAGGAGGCAGAGGGGGAAGAGGTGCCGCCCAGGCCGACTCAGCCAATGGCGGTTGCGTCAGGGGCCGGGGAGCCGCCAGATGATGACGGCGAGCCGAATAGAGACGAGAACGGCGACATGCCGCACAACGGTCCGGAAGGTTTGCCGTCACCCGCTCCCCTGCCGCCCCAAGAGGAGAGTGCCGACTCCGACTTCGATTTTGGCGATTTCTCTGGTGCTAAGCCGCAGGAGCCGGAAGAGAGTGGTGCGGCAGCGTCTGGGTCTGCGCGTGAGGGTGGTGGCTGGGCGGCGGGGTTTGACGAGGGAGATGACGAGTGGGGGTTCCAATCGGGGGAGGGAGGGGCAGGGGGTGAGGGTGCAACCGGTGACTGGGCCGTCACCTCTGAGGCCACACTCATGGAGGACAGACAGATGAGACGGGTCAGCCAGCGCTACACAGATGAATGCAGTGATTGATACGATGGATGCTGATAGTGACAATAAATGTGATGTGTTGTCCCTTTCGGTCTGACAGGATGAGAGCGATCGCATCCAGAAGGCCCTCGACACGATTCAGAAGACAGTGTCTGAAGGCATTGACGGCCTCTACACCACCATGTGTGAGCATTTCGGCGGCTGCGACCTCCGCAATGTCACGCTGGACGACGATGCCGCCCACGAGCCGGCGACACTGCAGCAGGCCGTCAGCATCCCTCAAGCCGTATCCGACTTCATCCGGACCGGTGTGCTGCCGGCTGACGCGGCCGGCCTGCTGGTGCCTCTGCCGGTGCCAATCCAAGGCGCCGATGCCCAGCAGAGCGTCGCTGATGTGCCGATCCACATGGACAAGTGAGTGGGGCAACAAAGGGAATGAAGGCGGTGCGGTGGATGAGAGTGACAGTGCCTTCGGTTGTCGTTTGTCAGGTTTGATTGGTCGAGCAGCCGCGTGCGTCAGCGGTATTACGAGGGGCTGTGTTCGTGCCTTCAGACGCCCCCTGACGTCCCCATCAGCGCTGCCTTCGCACAGGAAGCGACGCAAGAGAAGGTCAGCTAGGCACCTACAAAAAGCAACATCTCTTGCTCTCAAAAATAACTCTCTTCCCTGCATGTGTCTCCCCTCCCTCCCTCCCTCAGCCGGTGTTGCGTCCAAGCGACAGTGTGTTGAGTGGCAGCTCCACCATACCCATAGGCCTCCCACAAACAGCGACCCAGCAGCCATCTCCCGATCAGGCCGGTCAGGTGTATCTGTACCAGCCCCCCATCCATCTGGACTTCCACCCCCCTGACGGCCAGCCGCCCCCGAGGCTCACAGGTCGTGTGGGCGCCGGGGTGGCTGCCAGGAGGGGCACGCCCCTGCCGCAGCCGGCACTTGGCGACGAGGCGACCGCCGGCATGCCCCATGCCTGTCGGGTTATGGGTGACGAGAGGCGGAGCAGGGCACATGGAGGGGAAGACCTCGACCAGCTTTTCAAGGTAATCTTATTTGAGGCAGGCCTCAAACATGCCCTCTTAAGCCGGCAGGAATGCTTGTTGGTGTGTCTGTTATTCTTTCAGCGTCCTGGTGTGGGTAGCAGGGATCACAGGGTCCCGTCGACTGGCACCGGCAGCGTCAGCGTCACTGGGCCGGTAGCAGCTGCATCGTCGGCTGCAGCTGCCGTAGTGCCCGACGTATCTGGCGTGACCGATGACGTGCTGGAGCATGCACTCTCACAACTAGGCCTACAGGTAACAAGACAGACCCAGGCAGGGAGCAGTGCAGTGGGCATGGCACATCTATGGGATGGCTTGATCCTCATACCTCGTTTCTGTCTATCGTCTTTATAGGGCTCGGCTCGTTCATCCCAGTCGGAGGCAGCAGGAGAGCGGCCCAGTGACACCCTCCCAGTGGTGCAGGCGCAGTCAGCGGCATCGGGCGAGGGTGCGGGTGCGGGCGGCCAGCCCAGTCCGGCCCCATCGCCACTCAGCTGGCCCTTCCTGCAGCCCTCATTCGGCCTGCGGGCGTCGGGGGGGTCGTCGGTGACACCGTCGCCCCGCGTGCAGCGCTTTGTGGACGCGTTGCCGGATTTGTCACACCTGCTATCGTCATCTGTGGTGATCCCGGCGCGCAAGAGCGACGACTCACAGCAGGATGGTGGTGGCGGCGGGGGATTGCAGCAGCCGCCGCCCACCATCACCATGTGAGTCGCTGCAGTTTGTCTTTTTCGTGCAGGATTGATTCTCAGTGGCCGGACGGTTGGTTCATTTTGTGAGTTGTGTTGTGTTATGCGTGTCAATTCAAAAATCGGTGGTGACGTACGGTGTTGCTCAGGGAACGTTGACGAAAGGCGGGTCGGTCGCTATACATGCCCAGGTACACACAGAGACGCACACACGCGGCACACTTCAAAGCAGCGACTTACTCCAAAAGCCTCAATATTTGAGATTTTTTGAAGCTCGCATTCGCTCCAACGGTTCCCCGTCTCCCTCCCCCCTCCTTCTCTTTTTTTGCCTCTTCCCGTGGCGAATGTGTCGCCATCTTTCGGAAACTGTGTTTCTTGTCGTCATCAGCCTGCAGCTGGTGGTGCAGCCGTGTCTATCAGCCCTTTCGGCTCGGCACGAGGATGGCAAGCAGCAGGGCCCTCTCTACCGTGATATTCAGGACGAGTTTCCGCTGGATGAGGAGATTCAAGAGAGCCGCACGTTCCCCTTTCTCGTCAACGTCTCCGTCTACATGGCTCCGACGAGTGTGTACTGGGAGGACATTTGCAAGAAGCAGATGGGCATCATTCCGTCTGACATGATGATGATGAGCGACTTGGACTGGCTGTCGTGCGCAGTGGTGCTCCAGCGTCGCGATATGGTGCACTCCATACTCAACGATGACCATGACGGCGGATATGCGTGGGATCCAAACGAGATACAGGTCAGGCAGGCAGTCACTGGGCGGTGCATCCACACGCCCACACGCACCCTGGTTGATTTGGGTCACTCATGCCGTTTTGTCTTTCTGTCGTCGGCATCTATCGTGTGGCTGTCGTGTTGGGTGCAGGGCATGACCGATGGCATCACCGCCCTCCACTTGGTCGCATCGCGAGGCGACATTGACATTGCGAGTGTGTTGATAGAGTACAAGGCTGACGTCAACGTCATGTCCGACGACAAGTTATCCCCCTTGTGCATCGCTATCATGTTCAACGACGGTGACATGGTGACGACGCTCTTGCGTGGAGGAGCTGACGCCCAACTCGCTTGTCTGAATCGCGACGACGTCAAGCGGAAGGCTAAGATCCCTGACGATTACTATGACGAGGCCAATGAGCACCTCTACATGATTCAGCCTCTCTTACTTGCGGCCAAGTACGGCAAGGACAAGGCAGTGGGTGCACTCCTGCAGCACGGAGTCAACAGGGACGCGACGGACACGCGTGGCTTCACGGGCCTGCACTACTCGGCTCTGCAGCATGACTTCTTCCGCACTCGCCTACTCAGCACGCGTCGCCAGTATGGCAAGGTGGCCTCTCTGCTTCTCAATGACGGCTTTCGCATGCTGGATGCCACGCAGCAGAATGGATGGACCGCCTTTGACTTTGCCTGCCGTGGGGCTCTGTTTCCGGCCGCCAAGCTCATGATCGATGGTGGCGTGTCAGGCGGCTTCTATGCTCCCCTCTTGAAGCAACCCATCAACACCTTTAAGCGGTCCCTCCTCGGCCTGGGCCTTGTCAAGCTGCTGGAGACCACTGAGCACGGCCAGATGGCGCGCAAGCTGCCCGCTTCTCTGGGTGAGGATATTCGGCGTGCGATCATTGCTAGGGGCGCCGACGCCTTCGTCTCCGTTCTCGGGCTCAACGTGATCACGCCTCCTTCTCAAGGTTCTCCAGGGATGCCTCTGGTAGTTAAGCTTGACATCAAGCTGGCGGACGTTTCCCTTACGGAGGAAGAGGTGATGCTCTTCGCGCACAAGCCTCACCAGTACGTGGTGGTTGGTGGAGTATTCATCTCAGACGTGGAAGCCACGGCCTTGAAACGCCTCGACAACCTGAGTGTCAAGCCTGGCGATGGAGATGGGGATGAGGGAGACGAGCAGGCCATCGAGTGGGGAGACGACGAGGAGGAGCCGGAGCCGCTGGGCAGTTTTTATATGGGTCTTTTGCATGGCGACCCCATGGGCATCACTGTGGCCGTCATTGCTGGCGCCCTGGTCCTCATGGGCGTGTCATTCTTCTTCATGTGATTGCTGTCTGTCGGGCAGGGCGACACAACTTTCCACTAATTAGTGGTGCACAGGTGGGTGGTGTTTTTCTGTCGGATGCGAAAGGAGGGAAAACTGACTTTTGTAGGTCGCAGGTGTGCTAGTGGTTGGTGAGTCCAGGCAGGTGTAGGTCGTGGGGTGTGTGTGGGTGTGTGTGTTGGTGTTGGAGTAGGTAGAGTAGATAGAGGGTGGTGTGTGTGTTTATGTGATTCATTCATTCATTCCTTCATCACATCTGTATGCCAGTCAGGTGTTATCTGTGTCCGTACTTACCTACCGCATGTGTCGTGTCGTGTCGTGTAGATGTGTGTGTGGACGTGGATGTGTGTGGACGTATCTGCGTTGCCCCGCTGTCTTGGTACGCACAGGTGGCCGGCCATATGCATCTCTGTCCCTACTGATTGCATGTCGATATTTTATATCGTGTGGGTTACGCTGTGAAGAAAAGGTTCGCTGCCTTTGTGTGGTGTGAAGTCACATGTGGACCCACGATAATGCATGCATCATGCATTCGTGTCTGTCTCGGCGTCAAGTGAAGGTGCGCATAGATTCGCAAACACCAACCGCAAGTCACCATCGCACACAGACTTCACTTCTGCACTGCCAGTAGGTAGACACCAGGTAGTGGCGACAGAATTCATGCGCAGCTCGCAGCGGTGCGTATCAGTGCACCACAGACATGTGTCAGCCAATTTTGGGCAGTCCACCCATCCCATGTACCGCACCCCCATCAGTCCAGTCCCCATTGTGTGTGTGTCGATGGCCTCTTAATTAAAACATCATACACACAGACACGCGATGCAGTGATTGTCGGTCGATACATTCATATACGCCTGCCTGCTTGACCAGAGGGGACAAGACGACGACACGACGCAACAGAGAAGAGCACAGCACACAGGGGAGTGAAGCCAGCCCCAAATGTCAGTCCCATGTGTATGTCCTGGACACCCATTCGCTGCACTGCGTGTCTGTCTGCGTGTGTGTGTGTGTGCACCTCTCGACACACACGTGGCACACACACACACACACACGTCCCTCTTGCCTTGCCATAGCTCCCCTCTTCCCTCTCGCCAGTCAGTCAGTCATCGCCACTGTGACGTCCGTCGGGCCACCAAGTCACCTCTGCGACTCACGCGAGCCGAGTGCCGACCGAGTGAGTAGCCGAGGAGGGAGGGAGGGCGGGCGGGCGGGCGCTGTCAGTGTGCTGTGGACGACCTGCAATAGTAAGTAGGACGCCAACAGCTCCAAGCAAGCAGTGGGCAGCCAGGGAGGGCCGTAAAGCCCAAGACCTCACTCACCACACAGACGGCGCGAGGGGGCTCGGTCGGCGACCACAGCCTCTAAGGACCCTGCCATACACACACACACAGGCAGAGCGAGAGAGGGAGAGAGAGAGACGGACTGTGTGTGTGCGCCTGTGCGTGTGTGTGTGTGTGTGTGGCGTGTCTTGTCCTCGTGGGGCACTGATACGATTAAGCTTCACGGCATCTCATTCTATTGAGTACATGTGTCTTGACGCCGCGCATCTCACTCGTCCAGTGCGCACCCACCCACACACATAAGAAATAACGTCTCGAAACGTACGAAGGGCCCACGAACGTCAGTCAGTCAGATCAGCCGGGTATGCCGCGCCCTTAATGTACAAAGAAATGACCACTGAGTGTGATGAAATTGTCATCGCTTAAGCACAGGCTGTCAGTCACACAGTTTGCTTGAAAACAAGCAAGGCACGCACCCTTAAGGGTCGAACGAATACGCAGGCACCGCACCGACAAACGTAGCCAGTCCCCTAAGCCTCGTTGCCCCCGCCCTCAGAGGGCGCTGCGGTGGGTGGGGTCACGCTGCACGCGGACATTTGTGCGTCCGGCAGCCTCAACGTCTTGTGCGGCGACTTTCAGTGTGCGCGAGAAGAACTCTGCCGATTCTTCAGCTGCACACAGACACACACACAAACACACACGAGTGTCGATGTCGCATCCATCGTGTGTAGCGTGCCTACGCGATGGCAGTGGGTGCGGCAGCTTCTGGATGAATGGATTATCCGCAGTCTTGCCCCTGCAGACGCAAGCCAGCCACACACTCATGCAATGCAGCAGACAGACATGTCTGTCAGTCCCGACTGTGCGGCCTACGTACTGGTCGCCGAACTCCTCCTCGATGGTCTTCCTGTCGTCAGCATTTTTATGGCCGATGAACAACACCACATCACTTGGGCCGCTAGCGCCCGGCGTCAGGGGGACCATGGAAGCCTTCAGGTCGCCGACGGTGCTGAACCTGCCCGCCGCCATGTAGTCTCTAGAATCCAAGGGGAGGAGGTCGGGGGGGTCGCTGTCATCGTAACGCGACACGAAGTAGCGAATGGTTGGCCCGGGGGGACAAGTGGTCCACTTTGATGGGCGCTGTGTGGGCGGGCAGACCTCCTCTGACACTGCATGATGGACACACACACACACACGAGTGTCGATGTCGCATCCATCGTGTGTAGCGTGCCTACGCGATGGCAGTGGGCGCAGCAGCTTCAAGATGAATGGGTCATCCTCACTCTTGCCCCTGCACACCACACGCAAGCCAGCCACACACTCATGCAATGCAGCAGACAGACATGTCTGTCAGTCCCGACTGTGCGGCCTACGTACTGGTCGCCGAACTCCTCCTCGATGGTCTTCCTGTCGTCAGCATTTTCATGGCCGATGAACAACACCACATCACTTGGGCCGCTGGCGCCCGGCGTCCATGGAAGCCTTCAGGTCGCGGACGGTGCTGAATCTGCCCGCCGCGATATGGTCAGTAAAATCCAAGGGCAGGAGGTGGTAAGAAGTGGCATCGTAACGTGGCAAGAAGAAGCGAATGGTTGGCCCGGGGGGATGGGTGATCCACTTTGATGGGCACGTCATCTTGCTCCTTTGCTGTGCACCCACGAGGTTTGTTGAACAGATCTTTTGCTTGACTAAGCCGCAGATCTGGCCGGATGCCTCTCCCCCTCTTCTCTTCCGCAGCCTTGCGAGCTCAAGTTGCTGGCCGAAAGCGATCTTTTGAGAACTGTTCGTGGAACCCGTCGGACTTTGAGGGATTGTAGCCCTCGTGACAGCATCCTTAGAGCACCCAAGGTTGGCTCCGCAGACCACCGAACCCATTCGCTTCGCTTCTGTCTGTGAGCCTGGCAAATCGAAGGTGTCTGCGGCCTTGAGAGCGTCATTGTCGACCAGTTCTACGCTCTATCAGTCAGCAGAGCCACCATGGCTCGTGGGAAGGGCGGGTCAGCGTCGGGATGGGAGGATCCAGCGCACCAGATCGGATGGATAGCAGCCACCAAGCCGCAACGGAACTGCAGAAAGCCACCCGCACAGCAGCAGCACAACGACCGAGTGCAGGTTGACGAGAGGCTACAGCGGCGCGGGCGGGGCTTGGCTCGAGGGGGACGACAGGAGCGTCGCAGCCCGTCACGCAGGCGACCCCGCTCCCCTCCCAAAGGCGACGCACCTCCTCGGCAGAAGAACAAGGCACCACCAAGGGAGCCCAGACGAGATGCACCAGCAGCTGCCGCTCCGGCCCCGGCAGTACCAGTGGCAGCAGCGCAGGGGCAGGCTGCTCAAGGGACGGCAGGCAGCCCGTCAGCCGAGGCCGTATCGTGTCAGCAGGATGAGATGAAGGGATTCATGAAGGCCTTCGACGAGTCGGGTGTCGTGGTCCCGCCGCTGGCCGAGGCGGGCGACGGGCATGGTGAGGTCAAGGCCCATGTGGTCGTGGTTGGGGCGGGGGTGGCGGGGCTCGCAGCTGCGGCCACGCTCAAGAAGCGAGGCTACAACGTGACCATCCTGGAGGCGCGTGACAGGTGGGTCAGAAACAGAGAGAGGGGAGGGGAGGCAGATGCGTGCACAGACGTGTTTTGTCAAATGGGCGCTGTTGTGTGTGATGTGGATGGATGGGTCAGGGTTGGCGGCAGGATACAGACGCAGAGATTCTCGAGGAAACGGGGCCTGCCAGAGACCAACGTGAGACCTGCACACACACACCTATAGATTGGCACGTGCTGCACCGACATGATGCGTGTGTGTGTGTGCCGTCCATGCAGTACGACGTCGCCGCCAATTGGATGCACATAGCCCCGGGCGACCCGCACTACCCCTGGGATATCGCCGCTGCGCTGGGCGTGGAGACATCCGCTGTGCCAGGTACCCGCCGCACCGTACACACACACACACACACACACACACACGTGCCTACAGAAGAGGCCATGGATGGATGGATGGATGGTTGCAGGAGGGAAGTGGGAGCCGACCCAGTGGACCGTCTTCCACGACGATCTGACAGGCCAGAAGGTCGACCAGGTCCTCGTCGTTCGGTAGGCTGCCACAGACATACATCACTCTCACTCAATTCCATCTGATCTCATCTCCCGCTGTTTCTTCCTTTTTTGTTTTTTTTCTTTCAGAGGGCACCAGCTGTACGAGCGGACCACTGCCATAATGCTGGCAATGAAGAAGGAGAAGGACCATCCAGCGGCAGCGCCCCCAACGATCAGTGGCCTGCCCCTCCCCGACTTCCCGCCCTCCGCCGACAGTTCCTTCGGCAGCTGGTTTGCCATCGCCCTCGACCGTGCAGCAGAGGAGGAGCGCCAGGCGTGCCAGGACCCCCCTCAAAAGAAGCAGAAGCGTCGTAAGGGGGCGACACAGGCGGCACAGGCGGCATCCGAGGCCGCTGACCAGGCCGAGAAGGTCGATAAGGAGGTCGGCCTGCTGCGCCGAATGGCAGCCAAGATCGCACAGCGGGGGTTCGGCTACAACTGCCAGCTGGCCGACCTCGCTCTCGTGCCCTCTCTCGAGGCGCTCGCCAGCCAGCAGCAGCCCGCCCACAAGAAACCCACGCGGCCGACTGATCGACAGCTGAAGGACCGGGCGGCGGGCGAGACCGACTACATGCGCCGCTACAAGGCCGGCAAGGGTTACCAGCCCGTCGCCACGCCTCAGCTGTCGATCTACGACCCGCCAGGGGTGCCGGCACCAGCGCCCAACGCGTACACCACCCTCGACCTCTTCAAAGTGTCGCCTGAGGAGGCGCAAGAGCTGAAGCGCAAGAGGGACGATGGCGGAGAGGGGCGGGGAGGGGCAGATGGGGGAGAGGAGGACGAGGGCGAGGAGGGCGCGCGGCAACCCCAGAGGAAGAAGCGGAAGGAGGGGGGCCACGGCAAGGGCAAGGACAGGAGGAAGAGGGCGCCAAAGAGGGCTGCCAGGGGAGCATACGACCCCTTTAAGCGGGCCAACATCGACCACCAGGTCAGGCACCTGATCCACAGCCAGTCACAATCCCTGACACACTTCCGTGCTCGCTCATTTGTGTGTCTGTCCGTCCGTTTGTCCGTCTGTTTGTGTGGGGTGTGTTGCAGCTGACAGAGGGCGACAGGCTCTGCACAAAAGGCTACAGCTGGCTGCCCCAGTTCCTCGTCGATTCGGCCGCCCTCCAGGACAACATCATCCACAAGGCCATTGTCAACGAGGTTCGAGTAGTTGACCACGAGGACGGCAGCAGCCACGTGGAGGTGACCACAGCCGACGGGGACGTGTACAGCGCCCTGAAGGCCATCGTCACCGTGCCGGTTGGCGTGCTCAAGGCCACCAACGACACGGACTCCCGCATCGCCTTCGAACCGCCCCTGAGCGCCGCCAAGCAGCAGGCGTGCGAGCGGCTGGGTGGGGGCGGACACAACAAGGTGGTGCTGCGGTTTGACGAGTGCTTCTGGGACGAAGCCGAGCAGTTCATCAACTGCACCGACCCATCTGTGCAGTTCATGAACCTGCACGCCTTCGACCCGGCTAATGCCACCAACACACTGGTACGGATGCTGGGTGGGGTGGGTGGGCACACACCACACACGCATCCACCTCTCTATTGTATCTGTGTCCGTCTGATCGTTCAGGTGGCCCACCTCTTCGGGCAGCATGATCTGCAGAAGGAAGAGACGGTGGACAGGGTGGTCACCCTGCTGGCCGGCATGTATGGCCTCCACGTCGACGACCTCCGCGATGGGCTGGTGGACGCCGAGGTGACGAACTGGGACACTGACCCGTTCGCACTTGGCTCGTACAGCTGTCATCGGCCCGGAGGCAGCGCGGACGACATCGAAGAGCTGGCGACCGCCCATCCGGAACCCGAGAGCCAGGAGGGGGTTGACACCAGGCCAGCTGTCTTCTTCGCCGGAGAGGCCACCAGGTGGCTGGGGGGAGGGCGGTGGGTGGACCGGCAGATGCATTTTGTTTGTCCCTGCTCTTATGCCGGTGTGTGTGTGTGTGTGTCGTTGATTCGTTCAGCGCTGCGGGCAACCAGTGCGTCCACGGTGCCATGCACAGTGGAGTGCGTGCGACGACCGAGGCCCTCGCCGCCATCCACGGCATCTCACACCCACTGTGGGCGGCATCGGAGGCCCTGTAGTGTGCCTGCGCTGGCACACACACCCCCAGCCATGATAGGGTCTGGCCGCCTGTCTGCCTAGCCTAGCAGCCTGTCCCTCGTCGACGATTGCTGTGTTTGTTCCTTCTCTGCTTGTCTTTGCTTCAATTGGACCTCACTATTGCTCCTGAGCTTCCTTTGCTATGGCCTGCCTTTCGTGTTGCTGAGGTCCTGGGCCGTTTGGCTGCTGCTGTTATGACTAGGTTGTCGTATCCACACCCCACACTCACTGCGCTGACTAAGAGAGAGGGAGAGGGAGAAGGAGAGGGAGAGAGAGATTGCTGTGGTGAGGTCGTATTTGTTGTATTTGCTTGCTCTTAGCTGACTGATGACTGACAGACAGGTGTGGCACGTGTGCGTGGACGTCCGTGTGTGTGAGTGTTCTTGCCCGCCTGCCTGGTCTGGATGGAGCGAGCTGCCTATTTGCTATCTGTCTGTTGCCGTCTTGACCTTTGCTCTTTGCTGAACTACTTACTACTGGATTTGGGACGGACCGTTTGGATCAGTCGTGTGTATGTATGGTATGCATGAGATTCAAGACGTGTGCACATACGCACATACAGACATCCGTACGTATTGGAGACACGTGCAGTGCACATGTATGTATATAGTTGCATGCCTCATCACATCAACGTGTACATGGCCCTCATGTATCGTATCACCACAACAAACAAAGAACGACACGAAAAACACAAACATGAGTTTTCATCCGTGTTTGTTGCAAAAATACATCAGTCTCACTCAGCCAGCTACTTCCGCCCGCCCCTTGGCATCCCGTCCCTCCCGTTTGATTCTCTTGCCCTTGCCCCGAGCACCATCACCACCAGCCGCACCCTTTCTCTTGCGGTGGCCATGGGGGATGCGTCTGTCCGTTCCTTCCTGAGAATCGCTGCTAATGACCATGGCATGTGATGCCCTCCCACCCGACTGCACATCCCCGCCCCGCCCCCCCTGCTGCTGGGCCGCCACTTCATCGGCACAGTCAGTAAGGTCCACAACGTCCCTTTGATCGCCTCGCGGCTGCTGTGACACTGCTGCTGCTGCCGCTGCTGGTGGGATGGGGTTTGAGGTGGGGGGCATCCGACGCTCGCTGGCTGCTCCTCCAGCAGGATGCGCAGCAGCAGCGGCAGCACTCACCATAGGACGCTGATCACCATCCCCTCCCACGCCCTCCGCATCTCCCCCATTGTCACCATAGTCGTCATCGATCCACCCGTCGATTTCATTCATTGGCACCTCATCTTCCCTCTCCCTCTCGCTCTCCTTTGCCTGCGGTGCAGGTGCGGCAGCCGCAGCTGGCATGGTGGCTGGCTGGGGGTGAGGGGCCCGTGCCCACATGAATTGAATGCTGGGTGGCCGAAACGGTTGTCGGGGGACTGGGCTGTGTCCTCCTGCAGGAGGGCAGGGAATCCCCCTCGGCGGCATGGGGCCATGAGGCATCCCCACGGGGCGAGCGATAATACCATCAGCAGGTGGTCTGGGTCTGGGTGGTGGGGGCCGGACGTACGCACGCGCAGGCGGACCCGGAGGCGGGGGTGGCATTGCAGGTGGCTGTGAGGTTTGGGAGTACCACAGCGGTGGTAGGTTGCCAGGAGGGGCGATAGGGGGCATCGCGGCAGCGCCGCCGCCGGCCGGGTCATTGGCATCGGCAACACCTGGCAGCCGAGGGGGAGTGCGGCTGCGGGGTGGGGCTTTGTTGTAGAATTGCGGCCGTCCGCCTGGTTTGGATGGGTTGGCCATGGCGGCCAAGAAGTCACGCGAGGGCCCGGTGCCATCCGCAGCACCACTGAGGGACTTCAGCATCTGCTCCAATGCACGCTTGACAGCTGTCCGGTCGTCATCGGGGATGTGCGAGTATGTGATGCGATTGACGAGTGGCGAGGGGTCGGGTGGGAGGTCCGCCAGGTAGGGGGAAACGGAGCAGCGGTTGGGTTTGTTGTTGTCGAGCTTGATCTCGACGAATGATATGCGCAGCTGCTCCTTGGCCCGGGAAAGAGCCACATAGGCCACGCGCCGCTCCTCCTCCTGCGAATCGGGCCCGCTGCCTCCACTGCCTGCAATGCAATCAATGCACGTACACACAAGAGAGCAGGTGTGTGCGGCGGTGTCTCTCTGGTGTCCTTCCTGCGGTGTCTATAGGCCTGCCTACTGTGTAGGGCAGTTCAGTCGGGGTGTTTGGTGACTGACTGACCTGTATTCTGTCCACCACAAGGCCATTCGCCGTCGTTCATGCGTGTGCAGAAGACGAATGGCCACTCCTTGCCCTTGGCGCCGTGAGCTGTGGTGAGGGTGACGCATTCCTCTCGTTGTTGGTGGACGCCTTCTCAGCCAGCAGCTCGGTCGCATCGTCTGAGGGACACAAATACACCCACACATACACGGACACACACACACACATATGGATGGAGGGATGGATGGATGGATTGTCTCTGACCACTGAGAGCTATGGCGTCCAGGAAGCCAGAGAGACGAGCAGCAGGAGACTGCTGCTGCTGCAAGGCAAGGCAAGGCAAGGCAAGGCGACCAAGGGAGGCAGAGGGCAAGGTAGGTAGGTACGGATGGTACGGATGGAGGGGGCTTTCCTTTCTTTGTGTTTGTGTGTCTCCTTCCTTCCTTCTGTGCATGTCATGTCGTGTCGTGTCGTGTCGTGTCGTGTCGCCGCCTACAGTGTATGCTTTTGCCTCTCGCTGGAGTGCCTCTATTAGTGCACCGTAGTCTCGTGACTGGGGCAGCTTCTTGACGACACGGTGCAGAAATTCCGACAACTCCAGATCCCTCAGCCTGACGCGTGCCATGTGTGTATGTGGTGGGTGAGGGGGACACACACACAAAGCAGCCCGGTGCGCATATCTGGTCATTCTGTAAACCCTCCCCTGACCGACCGACCTGTCGGTGAGTTGGCATGACTTGTCGAGTACATTGCATGCGGCGCAGATCGCCCGGTTAAGCACCTCGTTCTCATGCACACGCTGCCTCGGCCCGTCTGGCTTCTCCTCATACACGTGAATCCTGCCGACCGCTGCCCGCACGCGCTGCTCGAACCTGCTGATGGCGTCTGCAGACGGCTCTGCCAGCCGTAGCTGCTCCCGTCGGCGACGGGCCACCCTCTCTCGGTCTTTCTTCTTGGGGAGCTTCTGGGCCCTGGGCGGCTGCTTCTTGATGGGTGGCCGGTGGGGCGCCGGCGGCTGCTGGTGGTGGTGGTGGCCGTCCTGGGTGTCGTGGTCGGGTGGTGGTGGGGGTGGGGGCTGGGGCACCTCCTGCTCGGCCATGGCACTCAGGATGGTGAGGCAGGTGATGAAAGGCAGGGGGCCGTTGGGGGGAGGCAGCTCCTTGCGACCTGGCCACATGCAGCGCAGTGACCCACATGCAGAGTGTCGCGTCGTGTAGTGTCCTGAGGTCTTTTTGCTGTTGCTGCATTGTGTTCTGAAGTCTAGTCTAGTATTTGTGTATTTTCCCACCGAATGCAGCCATCTGCCTCAGTAGCTCCACGGAATGTTTCGTCCCTGTCGGTCAGACATGGCCGTCACCGCCCGCATGGCATCGTCGTCGTCGATCGGCTTGAGAACGAAGCGACAGATCGCCAGAATGTCCTCTACCTGCCAGCCACATGACATGTACCACCCAACAACATACATACATACGGACGTACGTAAGTACGGATAGATGGCCACGCCACGGGGCGATTGCCAAGTCGGATTCATTTCACCCCCCTCACCTCTCGCTGGGAGTAGTAGGCGGCCCCGCGGACGACCAACGGGATGTTGTGGCCCTCCAGGAACTTCTGAAACTCCGTCAACGTTGACTGCTTCCTATACAATACAATACCTCATTCATACCACAGAAACCGTGATCGTCAGTCAGTTCTCCCCGCCCATGCCCCTTCCCCCTTCATTCACTGTGTGTGTCATGTGCAGGTAGGTAGGTACCTGCAGATGATCGCTATGTCCTTCCACTGGCAGGAAGGCTGCTGCAGGGGCCCACTACCAGCCCCATCAATGAACCCCTTGAGCATGAGTATGTGTAGGAGCACCCAGAACATCTCATGCTCGGGCGTGGCACACGAGCAGGCCTCCACGGGCTGCCCTCTACCGAGCGCCGCGGAGACCGGGGGCGGGGCAGCAGCAGAGGGGCACCACCACCACGCAGGACGGCCTGACTCACTTCAACAATGCTCTTGCTACTCCTGAATGAACAGCACAAAAATAGGTAAAGCCACAGGGGCGTGCATGCATTTCGAACCAATCAAGGGATCCAATCCTCAGTGGATTGGATCTTACTGACCTGAAGTTCTGCGTGAGCTTGACCCTGGGAGCGGCTTGGTACCGGTCTCGGAACGCCCCGAACTGGTCGTCTCCAGCACCTATTAGCGCACAAAATGAGATGGATGTGGACATATGCTGTTTGAGTCCGGGCAGCTGCTGCCTACCCTGGAAGCCATAGATTCGCTGGGAGGGGTCCCCAACGACCGTCACGCGACCGTCACGGGCGAGCAGGTGCAGCAATTGTAGCTGCACCGTGGATGTGTCCTGCACAGTGCACACACAGACACAGACACACCCATTCATTCATTCAACTAGAGGGTGTATGCCATGTGTCTCTCCCGCTGGCCCCGTCTCTCTGACCTGAAATTCGTCAACAAGAATGAATGTGTGGCGCTTCGTCAGCTCGGCCAGCAGAGGGGACGCCGGCTGCTGTAGTGAGTACATGACGGCCTTGAGCATGTCACAGAAGTCCAGGCATCTGGCCGCCTTCATGGACTCCTCGTACTCACGGTACACGATCCTCTGATTGGCTGCACGCAGCGCACGATACACACATAGAATACAGGAATACAGGAGAGCATTAAAGTCATGCAGGCGATGCGTGTGTGGTCACTGTGGTGGCTGGCATCTGACGCACCTGTGAGGGAGCTGTCGTCTGGTGGTAGGTTGCGTGCCTTGGCTCTGTTGATGGCGCGGAGGTATTTGGCGGCTGGTCGGATGTTGGTGGAGTGGCTCCGCTGGATGACGTTCCTGGTCTGCAAATCCTCGAGGATCTCCCCGACCTTGAATCTCTGCTTGTTCTCATCCACGACCTGGAACGCCGCCTCCTCAGGCTGCTGCTGGGGCGCCTCGGCTGGTGTGGTGCCGCCTGTGGCTAGGGTGGCACTCGCCTCTCCACCACCCCTCCCCCCGTCCTGTCCGCCATCCTCAGAAACCTCTCCGGTAGCGCCACCAAGCCGAAAGAAGGCATCGGCCACCTCAGGCCGCTCCCTTAGGACACTCAAACAAAACGCATGGTAGGTCTGCACTCCTATGCGGGCGAGAGGGTTCGTTCGGGCGTTGCCAGATGCCTTCAATCGCGCCTTGAGCTCTTCGCAGGCTGCGCGACTGAACAAGAGAGAGAACACGCATCGCATCGATGCACACGCATCTGAATGGCGGCTGACCTGAAGCTGAAGACCAGGATGGCTTCAGGAGCTATCTCGTAGAGAGAGATGATCAACTCCAGCCGAAAGATTAGCGTTTTAGTCTTTCCGCTTCCGGCGCACGCCTCTATTGACAGCGGTTCGTCTGTCGGCGACTGACGCGCCCTATCCTGCTCCTCGGTCAAAGAGCCAGCTGCGGGAGCCCCCGCCATGGATTCTTGCTGCGATGACCTCCTCAAATCATGAACGCGATCTTGGTAAATTCACGAAAGGCGTCACACACATGACACATACACAGACAGCATACACAGACAGAGGGACGCGCACATGCACACGTCAGTGATCGAGTGCATCATGCATTCTCCGATGTTCTTTACACAATTAAGTACAAAGGGGCCGGGCCAGCCGCTCTAATTCAATTCGTCTGCCGCCCCATTTCTTCCTTCAATGGCCAGTGTCTGTCAGTCTAATTAGCACCGTAGACTAGACGAGGGGCGGCGAACGATCGATATACACCAACAGCAACCAAGCAAGGCAAGCAATGAGAGGGGCACCGGACCGGACGTTGGTTGTGTTGGGTGCGTGCCGTTCGAACTATTGGTTCGCCAGCACATTCACCAACCTGCAGTGCACAAGGAAGGGAATGGAGGGAGGGAGGCCAGATACACGTGCGTGGCGTGGCGTGTCCGGCAGCTTCCTTCCCTCCTTCCTTACCAGTCGAGTCCCTCCTGTATGCCCCTGCCCTTGAGTGCCGACGTCTGGAATATCGCCCACTGACGATTCCGGATGTTGGTCAAACCCAGCCCCTCTGACACCTACACACATACACACATACACACGTCGTCTGTCACTGTCGTGCCTGCCTGCCTGCCTGCCTGCCTGCCTTGTGTATGAGTGTCTGCACAGCACCTGTGCGGCCGTCATGGCGCCCGGCAGATCCTGTTTGTTAGCAAACACGAGCAGGGTCACGCCCTTGAGCTCCTCCTCCTACACGACACACATGCACACGGACAGACAGGCCAGTCGGGACTGCGTCGTGTCATCAAGGTACGTACTGCTGGGGGAGATGTATTGTATGGTCCCTCCCTCCCTCCCCTGCGTGGGGTGAGTGGCTACGGCACGCATACCTCAAGCATGAGTTGTAGTTCTTGTCGAGAGTCGGGGAGCCGCTCGGCGTCGGCACTGTCCACCACATAGATTATCGCATTCGTATTCGGGTAGTAACACCGCCAATACGGCCTGCAGCAACCAACCAGACCAAGGGGACCACAACCAAGACCACAGTAGTGCCTGCCTCTCTCTCTCTCTCTCTCTCGCGTGTGTGTGTGTGTGTGTGTGTGTGCATGGGGCAGCCCAGTGCAGTCGGCCCCGCCCGGCCACCGACCGTATGGATGTTTGTCCGCCGAGGTCCCACACTTGGAATTTGATGTTCTTGTACTGCACCGTCTCGACATTGAACCCTATCGCTGCGTTAACACACACCCCGCAGCACAGCAGGCATCGCATCCATCTTGCTGCGGGCAGTGTGCGGCTCGGCTTGGTTCTGCTCACTCGGTATTGTTTGGACCACCTCGTCCATCTGCAACCGATCTGAGCACACACGCAGAAAAACACTCAAGATTGCTGCGCCGATCCAGCACTCAGTGATCTGTCTGTCTGTCTGTCCCGTGTGTTTGTTTGTGTAGGTCTTACAGAGGATGGTGGTCTTGCCGGCATTGTCGAGCCCGAGGATCAGGATGCGGACCTCTTTGGCGCCGAATAGCCTCTGGAACAGCTGGGAAAAGATGATGCCCATCTTACCATTCCAATCTGGCTCCTCCTTCTCTTGAGATGACTTCTTCCAGCCAAACGGGATCCGTGAAACTGCTCCCGAAGGGGGCGAAGGGGGAAAGAGGGGAATGAATTCGCGTCAGCTGTGCACCCTGTGGGCCTGCCAGACGACTGGCAGATCTGCGTTCAATACTTGCTCGCGGCGTCTGGTCCCTTTGTCAGATGCGCGTCTATCATCGGCCACATGTGCGGGACGGCGGCATACGAGCACATCTGTCAGCAGCAGCAGGCGGCGGCTTGGTCAACCATCATCAAGCTTGTCCCGTTACCCCAATCAGCACAACTGTGACCTCGGGGCGTGTTTGCAGCGGTTCAAGGCGGCCGTCAAGGCCAACATCGACCATGTGCCCGCATTCAGCGATGACGGAGGCGTGCGCGAGAGCTGGCCGCCCAAGGAACGAACCGACGTTGACAAAAACGTGAGCCATGGAGGCAATCGGTCGGCGGACGAGAGGCATGGCATCCGTCAATCGTGTGTTGGTTGCTGTTGCTGCTGCTTGTTTGTGGATGGATGTATTTTATTCAGTTTGGGATGTTCAAGCGTCACTTGTTTGTGTTCAATCGTCGGCTGGAGACCGGCCGCAAGCGTGAGTCGGTGCTGTGCATAGCCAACCGGGGTGTGCCCCTGTACCTCAAGTACAAGAACCAGTCGGTGCCCTGCGAACCGAAGCCGCCCGGCTATGCCCGCATGACGCCCGACGAACAGAAGGAGTGGAGGCAACAGGTCAGGTCGGTGGGGGGGTGGGTGAGGGAGGGAGGCCACACACAGGGAGCCTTTCTCGCCACGACAATGACGGCTGCTGCTCTCATTTGTCGGATGGATGGATGGTGCATTCATTCATTCACTGTGCAGGCTGCCGAGCATCAGTTGATTCGTCGGCGTGGCGCGAGGGTGCGTGGCGAGGGCAGGGGTGATGAGGAGTTCAACCACAACTATTCGCCGGTGGTGATGCTGTCGCGTGTCGAGTTCGAGGCACTCATGGACAAAATGAAGTGGATCAGGGCACAGCTGTCCGAGTATCAGAAGAGGCTCTAGCCTACATAGAAAGATGGATGCCTGCATGCCTGCATGCATGGCTGCATAGCCGTCGTCTGAGCGGCTTTTTGCATCGTTGAGATGGATAATATTTGTGCGACCGATATAATGGAATGGATTGGTCTTGAAGACACACGTGGGATGGGATGGGGTGGGCCGGCTGAGCTGAGGATGCGATCAAGACGGTGTGAGCAGTCCCTCGCGGTCCTGGGGGAGCGGTTTCACAGAATGTCCTAAGCGGCCAGACGGCCAAGTCCCATGTCTTTCACGCACAGTCAAACGACGACACGCAACAGGAATCACCCACGCACGCTCCACATGCACAGAGGAAGCCAAGGAACACACTCACGAGGCCTCCAGACCGAAACCCACGGCCGTCCGCTGAATACGAGTCGTTTGCTGGACTAAGTCGTAGATCTGGCCGAGTCGCTCCTGAGATGCGCCACCCCGGGCCTCCCCCACGCCGCAGAGTCGTCCCCCCTCGGCGCCGGAAGCTCCATCCGCTAGATACGGGTCAATTGCAGTCCTGGCGTGCGAGCCGCCGGGCGATCGGCGTCGCAGCGTAGCGTCTCCCCGCTTTCAACAAACGCGCACACCGAGGCGTTGGCCAGCAGCGGAGAGGAATTATCTGGTGTTGGGCTGTGTTCCGTGATTGACTGATTCTGATTGGTGATTGTTTGCGATGGTTGAGAAGCTGCTGGATGGCGGTAAGGAAGCACAACGCCCATCCTCACAGCTGGACCAATCTTGATCTGTGTTTCTGTCGCATTGACTGACGCAGCTGATGGCTCCGCTGGTGACAGCAAGGGCGGGACGAGCGCCGCGCATCATGACGGTGAGGTGCCGCCGATGGTGAAGCCGACCAAGGCGTACAAGAACCAGGAGTGGCTCAACAGCCGCGCCGCACGGCACATGCGCATCATGTGCGAATACCTCGAGACCAAAGACAGGTACGTAAGGACGGTTGGTACCTACTGCTACTTACTGCCCTGGTGGCAGGCACACATTCATTCAACAGACAGACAGACATCCGCCGCTCGAGTGGTGGTTGACTGAATCTGTCAGGCTGTGCTGTCTGTTGTCTCTCCCGCCGCCCGTCAGGTTGAAGCGTCACAATGTGCACTGCACCATTCTGTTCTTCGGCTCGGCCCGCTGCTTCCCTCACAAGGAGTACCAGCAGCAGCTCACAGAGGCCAAACAGGTCAGCTTAGCAGACAGGCACACAGACAGGAGTCATGCGACGACACCACACGACACACGCTCAAACAGCGCAGCGCAGCCTGACGCCTGTGTCTGCGTGGCTGTATACGTATGTCTGTATGTGATCGGCCAGGCTGTCGAGAGCGCCAAGAGCTTCGGTGACGCCAAGAAGGTAGAGGAGGCCGAGGCGAGGTACCACCGCATTCACAAGCTCGAGTGGATGTGCGACTACTGGGACAAAACGTACCTCCTCGCAAAGAAACTCACAGGTAGGGCCAACGATCATCTATGGCACTCAGCGCAAACCCGTCTCTGTGTGTGTGTGTGTGTGTGTGAATGTGTGTGTGCAGAGTGGGCGATGACCGACACGTCGCGCCGTGCGATCTGGCGGATAGTGGAGGAGCTAGACGACCCGGTGGCCGACGATGACGAGCCGTCCACACACCTCAGACGTACTCAGCACACCCATCACATCACACACAACACAACCATCGCATACATACATGTCCATCGCATCCATCCGTGTGTGCGGAGATACGATACATGTATGTATGGTGCGTATGGTGCAGATCACGCCCGTGAGCACATGCGTGACAGCATTGGTCCGGGTGACCTGTCCCCCCAGCAGCGCCAGAAGGTGGCGCACTCACCCAGCCCACTCATCATCTGCACGGGAGGCGGACCGGGGTACGTGACGTCACAGAGGAGGGAATGAAGCAAACGCTCAAACACCACGTGGACTGGACACTTACTTGGCTGTGTCTGTCATGTTGCCCCCCCCTTGTATGTACGTACGTATGTGTCAGTTTGATGGAGGCGGCCAACAAGGGCGCCTACGACGTGCCGGGGGGGCGATCAATGGGTCGGCATAGATAGCATAAGGGGAGGGGAGGGGGCACGCATGGCATTCGCGGGCTTGTGTGTATGTATATATGCCTGTGTTGCAGGTATGGGGATCAGTCTGCCGTTTGAGCCCGGGCTGAATCCCTATGTGACGCCCGAGTTGGGTTTCGAGTTCCACTACTTCTTCACTCGCAAGTTCTGGATGGTCTACTGCACACTCGGTGAAACAGAGAGGCCAAGAGGGAGGCAGGGAGGGAGAGGGGGAGAGACGGACGGACGCAGCACACGTGACGTATGTCTGGTCTGTGTGTGTGTGAACAGCGTTGGTGTGCACTCCCGGCGGCCTCGGGACACTCGACGAACTGATGGAGGTGCTCACACTCAAACAAACCGGTAAGGGGACGGGCGCCGCAGTACACACACACCGTCCGCAGCAGCGCGTGTGCATCCGTTTGTCTGCCTGTTGGTTTGGTTGGCGCCGACAGGGAAGATCAAGCGCAGCATTCCGATCGTGCTGTTTGGATCCAAGTTTTGGAAGACAGTGCTGAATGTGGATGCCTTGGTGGAGTACGGCACCATCTCATCCAAAGACAGAGACCAACTGTAAGCCTACTCGCTCGCCCACAGAGGGAGGGAGCCGTACGTATGGCTGCATGCATGTATGCATGTTGATTCCATCCTTTTCTGTCTGTCTGTCTGTCTGCGCCCCGCCCCCTGCGTGGCCTGGCCTGCAGGTTTTACACTGACAGTGTGGACGAGGCGTTCGAGCACATCACATCAATGATCGCCAGCGATGCGTAAGCACCCAACCAACTTGACACACGAATTAAACTCTCTTCTCTATATCGTCTGTCTGTCTCTTGTGTGTGTGATGATACGTATCTGTCAGTTTGTTGCTGGGCAAAAAGTCACGGCCCGGCTCCTCCAAACAGCACAGGTGACGGAGCGACGCCTGCCCGGTGGTGGCGCCAGGCGATTGCTTTCCCTGCTGACTGACACGTCCCCATCCCCCCACATTTTTGCCGCTGCCTGCATCGCATCCACTCAGCCATACCCCACACCCAGCCATCCAGCCATCCATGTTTTGATTTATGCCGCTTTCGCCCTTGTCCCCCCTCTCTCTCTCGTCGTCCGACACACGCTCTGCTGTGCATTTGTCGTGATGTGTCGCGGTGTCGTGTCTGTCGGACTCACTGGCTGCTTGCCTGGCCGGCCGGCTCTCTATAGTCGCGTGTCGGTCCGCCTCTATCCGTGTGCAGTGAGTGGATTTGCATGTGCGCTTTTTCGTGTGAGTCGTTCGGGACCTTTTTCAACGGAACCAAGTTAGGTATATGCACGCATTCGGTGGATTCAGGTGACCAACAGTTACTTACAGACAGGCCACAGTTCGCACGCGGACACACCACAGGCAGGAAGACCCACACAACACCACACCACACCCACAAATGAGTCACTCGTCGGGCATCCTGCCTTTGGGTGCGATTTCCGTGAGCAAGTGGTGGAGTAGCAGGTCGGAGAAGGCCACATCGGACAGATTGCGGGGGGCGGGCCGCCCACACGCCTCAGACAACGCATACGCTATCTCGTGCTTGCACTGACACACACACACGGGAGGGGAGGGAGGTGGATGGGCGAATGGTCTTGTGAGCTTACGACGAGTTGCTCTTGGTGGCGGTGGACGGGCCCGCCCTGGTCGGGGCCTGACAGACAGCAACAGAAAGCACACCCACGCACACACATAAATACGTAGAGTCCATGCGGCGACTGCCCTGTGCCCTCACAGAAGACATGCGTGCATACGTACATGTGCAGAAGTGCCGCATGACCAGGTACACTACATCCTCCCTCTCGGTGCCCTGCACCTGCACACACACACGTGAACAGCAACAAATAGATGGATGGTGGATGCCATGGATGCAGCCAAGCCATCCGACCCATTCGTCCCATGCCATCCTCAGCCACCCACCCTCCCATCCCGCCCACCAGTGCGAATGTGCGTCCAGATGCGCTGCGGAAGAGGGTGATTTTGTCCCTGTCGATGATGGCAAGCGCCTTGCGCACACGCGTGTCGTCAAAGGCAGCCAGGTGCGCCAGGGCCGCATCGCTCACTGAACACACAAACCGGCCATACAGCCATGGATCTTGGCCGGCAGATCCGTCCACAGTTTTGTGTACCTTGGCCTTTGGTGCGAATGTGCTGCAGTATGTGGTCGAATGACGCGTCCAACCGCTCAAAACCGTGGCGAGCCTGCATCTGCCCGGCACGTTAATTCGCACGTTTACGTCTGGGGGCCGCTGGCTTGCGCGCGTCTTTTGCCCCGTGTGCAGGTGGGCTCACCTCTTGCGTTAATGTATGTATGTATGTATGTATGTGTGTGTCCTGCATTGAATGCATTAGTGTGCCTTGCGATGGGTTCTACTTTGAGCAGCCACTCCAACACGGCATTCGTCAGAACATGTACGGGCGTCCGGAAGAGTGACGGGGCGCTGTGCTGCGCGGGGATATCTGCTGGCTGGCTGGCATGTGATGTGTGGTGTGCGCCTTCATTGCAGGGGGCGACAAACAAGTTCGGAGCCTCATCCAGCAGTGGAGGTAGATTCACAAGAAGGCTTATGTTGTGAGTCTGTCTGTCCTCCACGTGGGTGTCATGTAGGATTGGAGGGTTTGAGTGTTGCATGTCCGTCGACCTGCTGCACCAGCTGCAGCGATCCCTCGACGCATCACCCGCCCCAGTTGTGCCAGAGGAGGACATATGGCCCCCTGCCGCCTCGCCGGATGATAATTGCGAGTCGCCCCTGGACTTGTCTGTGTTCAGGACAACATTCCAGACATTCGACCATGACTTCGATGGTGATTGAGGCTGGGGAGTTGCTGGGTGACGGTGGATGCCTCTGTGTGTGTGTGTGTGTGTGTGTGTGTCATTTGTTTGTTGTGCGGCAGGTCTTGTTGATATGTTTGAGCTGCTTGGCTACGTCATCCTGTGGTCGGACACCACATGGCAGCAAAAGGGACACGGTCAGCGGAACAAGATATGGTGCTCATGTGCGTCTGTCTGGATCGATATATCTTGTGTGTGCGGCGGGCGTCTGTCAGCTCTCTTCCAGTGTGTCAACTTCGGCCGCAAGGACTTCCTCTCGCACAATGACGTCGCTTTCCTCGTACGCACGTCAGCAGCTGGGCGTTTCAAACCCTTCCAGCCATTCTTACGCGTTAAGGCCTGAGTGTGTGTTTGTGCAGGTAGGTCTGGTGCTCCGTTCCCTCAGCAAGTCGGTGCACCTGGACCCGCCGTATGATGACGACAGGACATACCCTTTCGCAGTCGCCAAACAGGTCAGTGAGTGAGCAACGGATAGCCCCCACACGATACACACATATGAGTCCACATAGACATGTCGCTGCCGGCCCAGCTTCTGGCCACGTATGGCAGCCCCCACACGGTGTCTGATAGGGCTGGGTCTCTTCTCGTGAGGCCGTCGGTGGGCGGCAGTGTGGCCAAGGGGCCGCTGCAGATCACTGCCCTCACACAGGAGGCATTCACTAAGGCGTAAGTAAGACGACACAGGGCATTGGTTGGCGATAGATATGCATACAGACATGTCTATCTGTGTACGGTGGGTATCTCCCGAATCATTCAGTTGGGATGAGGATGCGACGTGCCAGCAGCTGCGAACATTTGTCGACGACAATCTGGGTCTGTCAGTTCAGTCAATCACAAAGAGAGGACAGGACACACACACGTTTGTCCCACTTCCACTCGTCCATCCATCGTCTGTGCGTGTCTGTCTGTCTGTCTGTGTGTTTAGTGAAGCCGCTGCCGATCTCTGTGGAGTCGGGTTTGGCCAAGGACATCAGGCTCGCAGAATACGACTGCCAAGAAAACCACACACAGGTGAGTGAGGTGGGCGGGTGGGTATCGATCGATGATGCAATCAATGGCGTATTTATCGCCACATCTGATCTGTCTCCCTCCCCCGCGATGCGATGGATGAACCTGTGTGTAGTTGAAGCGTCTGAGCTCCAAAGTCGACAGGCTGCGCAGCGAGAGGGTGCAGAGAGATGAACAGCAGCAACAAAGGTACACACACATGCAAAAGCCTCGGAACGAACGAGGCCAGCCACTCTCTTTCATTGCCTGCCGGTTTGTTTGCATGTCCGTGTGTTTGCAGCTACGAGCTGCTGTTAACTGCGATCGATAGTGGTGTGGCCAAGCTGAGTCGTTCCATCGACCTGCAGACCAAAGAGCTGCACCAACTCAACGAATCATACAACAAGGCAGGCAAACCCCATATTCACGCACACACGCATTGACCGACCATGTCTCGCTCCCTCTGTGTGTGAGTGTGTGTGTGTGTTGCGCAGACGTCCGAAGCCGACTTGGCTCAGAATCCGCGGAGTGCCAAGCACCACGCGCAGCTGCTGGCCTCCATACAAACCACCATCAAACACTTCAAGGTAGCAGATGGCACTACACACACACGTTGGCTGGCCTTGTGTCTCCGGTGTCTGTCTGATGGTGTGTGCGTGGGGGGGGGGGCTCCGTTCGTTCGTTCAGTCTACGTTTTATTACTGTGCGAGTCTGTTTGACAAGGTCGTGGCACTCACATATGACGGTGGGCGGGTGGGATGGGTAGCTTGACGACACCGGCAGGGCCGTTCGAACACTTTATCTGTCGCTATCCCTCCCTCTGTTCATGTGACGTGAACAGAGGGTTCCAAAGAGAGGGAAGATCTCTCCATCACAGTCAGTCAGGAAGCAAACAAGTGTGTGTCACCAAGAATCCATTCTTCTGTGCCTCCCCGCCTTGTTTGTTTGTGTCTCCCATTCACTCCCCCAAGGTTGACTTGCGTTCCTCCGATCTGCCCTCCCCGCGGGACGACCCCACGCTGTCCCAGACACTGGCCCTCCTCAAGCAGCAGACAGACACCTTGGCCTCCCTGCAGCAGAGCCTCGCCAAGCAGCCGACAGACGTCCTGGTGCCGCTCCCATCGCCCAAAGAGCAGCCGAGGAAGGCCAAGGCAGCCCAGCGACCGGCGCGGGGCAACGTGCTGCCGGTCATATCGCTGCCAGGCAGGGCGGGCAAGAGGGACGAGAGGGACACGCCTGTGGATGAGGAGGGGCGGGCTTGGGAGGGTGAGGGTGGTGGTGAGGGGCGGGGGGACGAGCAGAGGAAGGAGCGGTGGGTGATGGTGAGGGCGGCCTTTGACCCCCCCGCAGAATACGGGCCGAACATGCTCAAACTCAAGGCCGGCCAATACATCTATACGGTCGACCGGCCGGCCGCACACGCAAAGACAGACAGAGACACACACGATCGGATCCTGTTTGTGCCTATGGTATGTGTGTGACATTTGTTTGTGAATGGCTGGGCTGCAGGCGTCTGGTGGTGAGGGCGAGGAGTCCGGTGCAGAGGGGTGGTGGTACGGGCAGACACAGGGTGGGACTGATGGGTGGTTTCCCTCATCCTACGTCAAGGAAATCACACAGCCACAGCACTCGTAAGTAATGGTATGGTGGATGAGGAGGGATCGGGAGGGGGGAGACAGACATGAACACATAAAGGGGTGGGCGGACTGATATATATGAGTCTTGTCGGTGAATGCGGTCTGGGAGTCAGCCAGCTGGTCTGTCTGTCTGCCTGCCTGCCTGTATGTGCGTGGCACGAGGGGTACTGTAGCAGCGACTAAGATTTACGAAAACCAAATGTGTCCGCACATGACAAGACAATCCTGTCTGTCATCTCAGGCCTGCTGGAGTTTGCCTTGACTCCCCATAAAATGACCACTCATGAGCCACTTGCTTACTAACTTTACCCCTCCCTCCCTCCCTGCCACGGTCAGTCACATCACATTCAAGTGTATCTATCTACAGCCGCCAGCGCCATACTATCACTATACACACCATCCACCCAACCCTCCCTCTAGTAGTGCGAGCCTCTACAACCGGCCGGCTACGGGAAAACAAAACAACCACCAACACGCACACACGCACACACACGCGGATACAAACATTATGTATGTATATATTTATGTTTGTAGCCCCTGATGTACCGTCCGTCCGTCTACTGAGTCAGCTGATGACATGTGCTCTCTGTGCTGTTTGTGTCGTCTCTTTCGCAAGGGGTCTTGATGATTGAGGCCGGCGAGACGGTTGGGCTGGCTCCCCGTCTACGGAGAGGGGAGGGCTGCACCGGACGGGGGAAGGGAGAGTGGGCACATGACACGTAGCCACCTACACACGCACAGCCAGGTAGACAGACACCACACACAGAGAGGGTCAGTCCATCAGGCACTGACTGGGTGTGTCTGTGAGTGAGTAATTTAGTGAGTGAGTGGTGCATGTCTGTCGACTGACTGACCTTCATCAGATGTTCGTTTCCTGCTGAGGACGGTGATAGCGAGTAGTGCCATGCCGAGGAAGGGCAGGAGCATCACCAGAGCCACGACCCTCCCACTCACCAAGTAGGATGACTCGCTCTCATTCTCGTGCTGCTGCTGCTGCTGCTGGTGATGGTGGTGGTGGTGGTGGTTGTCAGCACGCTCAGTGGGCTTGAGGTCGTACGGCGTCTGAAGGAATATATGAAGGCAGGCAGCCACATACATGCAATCAATGCATAGGCAGCCAGGTAGGGTATACGCCGCATCGCATCCATCCATCGATGCCATCGATGGATGGGATGGGATGGGATGCACAGACGTGTGTTTGAGTGTGTCTTGTGGCTCACTCACCTCCAGCCTTCTGTGTGGGGGCGGTTCGGCTGCCTCATGAGCCTGGTGGCCATATGCCGTGGCCACTGCAGTGGAGTTGTCTCCCCTTTGGTCTCCTCCACAGTCAGGCGGCCATGACCGGGTGGAAGTGTTGGACTCGCCGTCGTGCATGAGGCAGTCCAGGGCAGGGGACTGCTCATCCACACGACCGCCTGACGAGTCCTGATGTGGGAACAGCACACAGGCACAATCATGGCGGCTAACTGCTGCAGGTGCGTGTGTGCCTCCCTCCCTGCCTCCCTCACTGCAGCGGGTGGCGGGGTGGAGTAGTGAATGGCACTCCGTAAGGCCTCCTGACATACACCACACCAACCGCACACATACGTACAGAAAGTATCAATGAGTCGCTTGGGTCAGTCAACTCACCCACGCATTCAGGTACCTACCTGTACAGCAGCTCGTGCGTTGACCATGCCGCCGTAAATCGTGCGGTTCTGTAGTGCCGGCAGTGGTGTGAGGGTCGACAGCAGCACGTTGCGGAAGGCCTCGATGTCCCCACTCAGCTGGGGGTAGGCCGACAGGGCCAACGCAGCCACGCCACACACGAAGGGCGCTGACATTGACGTGCCGCTGTAATAGGCATACTTGCCCCATGTGATCGTCGAGAGGATCTGCTCGCCTGGCGCCCCCAGGTGGACCGTCTGCTTGCCGAAGTTGCTGTCCCACAGCAGCCCGCCGCTCTTGTCCACTGAGGCCACGTTGAGGATGTTTCGTATTTCCTCAGCGAAGGCCGCGGGGTACTGTTTGGTTGTGTCGAGGTCGATCATTTCGTTGCCCGCCGCCACCACAAACAGCTGCTTGGCCCAGGCCGATGAGCGAATGGCCTCCTCCAAGCCCCTGTCGTAGGGGCCGCCTCCCCAGCTGTTGCACGTGATGTCAGCTCCCATCACGATCGAGTAATCCAACGCACGAATCGCGTCAGACGTCCAGCCCTGCAGACAGACAGACAGAATAAATGAATGAAGCTAAATGGATGCGATCGACACGATGGATGCGAATGAGAGCCCCTCTGTCTGTCCCCTCTGTCCTCTCCCCACTCAGCTCACGTACGGTAGTGGCGGATGGGTCGTTTTCGTCGGCTCCCATGAACTTGAGCGACATGACCTTGACACGCTCGTTGCCGACCACACCAGCTATCCCCCGGGCATTGTTGGGGATGGCCCCGATGATACCCATCACATGAGTACCGTGGCCTGCACACACACACACACAGGTGCACAGGTGCGTCTAGACATGTGTGTGGGGACTGACTGACCGTCTGAGTCGTATGGGTCTCCATCATTATTCCTGAAGTCGTAGCCGTACACGTCGTCGATGTAGCCTGCAACCAATGCAGCACAACATACATACCATAAGCCAACTGTCCAGCTGGGTGCCTGCCATGCACAGGAGGGCGTTAACTCACCGTTGCCTGCAAAGACGCACACGCACATCCGCATCCATCCATCCATCGATGCATCACTAACTCACTGTCTTGTATGTGGGATAGAAGCGTCAGTCTTTCTTTCTTGTCTCTGGCCTGGCCTTCCTCCTCACTCACTCACTCACCGTCATCATCGACTCCCTCCTGCCCGTTCAGCTCCGGCTGGTTGACCCAGAGGGAGCCCTGCAGGTCAGGGTGGTGATAGTCCACACCGCTGTCAATGACGGCAACCACGGGCACTTGTCTGTGGCGGGTCGGAACACTCGGCCTCTGCTGCTCCTGGGCAGCCTCTGATTCGTCCACCCGTGCGTGGGAGTATGCGCCAGCGGCCGATGCGGCCATGACGCTCTCACCTGTCCGCTCCCCTCCCCCTCCCTCCCCTATTGCCTGTCGCTCTGCCTCATCTTTGGGCGGCATCGTGGCATCGTCACCCCTCAAGTTGGTGTCATCCGCCATCACGACGGCCTCTGTTTGGCCCATGTGGTGAGGATGACCATCGTAATGGCTGAGAATGTCCCAGGCTTCAGGGCCATCCACATCCATCATTGGGTGCTCCGCATTGTTGAGTGCCCACTGACGCGCATAGCCGGGGTCGTCAGGGCGCGCACCACCGGCGTGTGGGTGGACGGCCGTCGCTTCAGCCTGCGGGGGCCCGTGGGGCTCCACCAGCTCCACCTCACGACCGATGCGAGAGAGGGACCTGGTGCCACGTGGATGGCGATTGTGCGACAGAGGCCGCACAGCTTTGAGTTGTACGTCCCTCTCACACACTTCAACATCCAGATGGGCACGGATGGCGGTGCACAGGTTGTCGTGTTTCCACCGGCCGGGGTAGGACAGCACCTCTAGGCCAACGCCCTCCAGATAAGCCACCCTGGAGGCATCCACGTGCTCACCACTGGCATCGCTGGCTCTCCTCTCCCTCTCCCCCAACACTCCGAACCCACCGCTGGCGGCCAGCCGCCGTTGTCGGATGATTTCCTGCTTGTCGAGGAGCATGACGTGGCCGCCGCCCTCATGGTGCTCAACCAGGGCCGAGTGTTTGAGCAGGTGCTGCAGGCGTCGGTTCGGGCCCACAGAGGGCTGCCGCACCTTGACAATGGCCCGTGAAGGCGGCTGGTGGTCGAAGTGTGCAGCAGTGGACGTCACTTGGATGTTGAGGGCGAGTGAGAGACCGCAGATAAACAGCACCGGTGGCACCATGAATAGTATGTAGATACCGTTCGGCGGTGGGACGTACGTATAGGGAGGGCACCTGGCAGCGCGAGAAAGGAAGCTTAGCGAACCGTTGTGTGGGTGTGGTGGGCAAGAATATAGCCCTCGGCCACCGACAGGGTCTTTGTCGTTGCACTGCTGCCTCGCCGTTGTCGGGGCAACCATCTGTTCGCCTGACAGCCGGGAGACGATTACCTCTATCGTCTGGTCGTACCCAAAACCTCGTGGCCAGGTACTTTAATTTCAATTCGGGCGGGCACTAATAATTCGAAACCCGAAATCCCGAAACCCCAACCCCAAATTTTGCGGTCCGTTGCTTCTTGCGGTGGTCCCTCCCATCTCGTGTGGCTTTTCATTCTGGAAGTGGAGACTGAGTATGTTTGAGGCGAGGCCCTCCATCTCGTGTGATCAGCCAAGAGACGACTACCTGTGTGACATCGTTTGGTACGTACACACACTCGAGGGGGACACAGAGGCGGGCCTGCAGGCAGACAGACACACCCCCCCCCCCCCCCC